ATTGGAGTAAAGGTCATATAGATGATTTGTCAAAATGTTTAGGATATGCCTATGACATATCATCGGTTCTAGAATTGCAATAAGACTCGGATCTAGAATATAATAAATCTTTAAGGTTATGAGCAAAAACACCATCTTATCCCTCCAATGGGTGAAACTAGTAGTAAAGATCATATAGACAATCTATCATAGTGTTTAAGATATATCCAAGGCATATCAGTTGGTTCAAGAAGTGTAATAAGACTCAGATCTAGAACATAATAAATCTTCAATGCGGTGAGCAAAAACACCATCATATCCCTTCAACGGGTGAAATTGATTTTGTCAAACCAATCAAGTTTGATGAATTCTTGATTTATTATTTGAAATCTTGAATTTAAATTAAACTCTATTGAGAACAACTCTTTAAAATTATTAGATATATATTATAAGATAAGGAGAAAGAAAGCTTGAAGTGTGCTGTAACATATTATCTTTAAAGAGTTGTTGCCCACTATGGGGATTTGCAAACAAGACTTTTCAAGATACAATAAGCCTACTACAAAATGCTTTTGAAAGATAAAGTTTGTTTTGGAAGTACATTTCCTTTTATAAAAACTAAAATGTTGTGTCTGTTGTGCTTGAACAAATGTGTTTGTTGAAAACATTGAACAATTAGTAAATGTATTTCAATAGTTGTGTTTGTTGAAAACACTTTTTTTTATTTTAAGAGTTATGTTTTAATCTTAAACAGTCACATTTGAATAAGACTTCTAATATTACAAACTATCTAATAGTTAAAATCTCAACGTGTTGCTTAATAGCAATATTCTAAACTTATGCTACAACAACAATCTTATGCATCCATTTCTAGATCTCTTTATTTGGAGATCAAGTATATTAAGTTGCTTTTAGGTGTCTAAAATCTTTATGGGTGCAATAATAGATAACTTTCCAAGGTATTTCAATAGAAACAGTAAATTCAAAACCATTTTACAACTTAATCTCAACAATAAAAGAGATGGATTCTATGTCCTCTACTTTAATGTAGACCTTGGCAAATGTCAAATGAGATCAACTAGCTAGTAGTAACTTTGTCCATGTAAAGTGGATTCTCAATGAGAGTATAGCTAAGACCAATGCTAATGTAAAGCTTCAATGGAATGTTCCCAACTTAAACCATACTCGAAGTTTGGAAAGGTCAAATTACAAAAATTGAAGTCCAAGTATCCATTTACATAGAACCATTGGTTGACTCTAAATATCCCATGGTCTAACCTCTAAAACCTAGTCTTAAGTTTTAACAAGTTATGGCCAGCAAGTTTCACATCCATAGTATCAATTTTGTCCTGAAAAAAATTCATGACTTTTTATTTTACCAAAGAACTAAGCCGCCAAACAGTTTTGCCATCGCATTACTCCTTTTTCAATCACAGCAGAAGGTAATATTACCCCGATCTTACCATTACTCTTAGTTGGAGAAAAAAAGTATAAAGATTGCAATGAAGAAAAAGAAAACAGTACTTTCCAATCAGCACTTGTTTTCTCCTTTGTAATAGCCACATCAACATAAATAGTTATGACTACCTCAACAATAGGATCATTCATCACCACGCGTTGCTTCTTTGATTGCTTGAGCCTCCATAGACAAAGCTTCCTAAGTTATTATAAGGTCATAGGATTCTTTGTCAAGAACTATAGCAACCATTGATGCTCTTAATCTCTTGAAATCCAAATTCGTATCCTAGGCCTTATTTTGAAGAAAGCATAAGGAATCCACTCCAAATTCCAAGTGAACAAATCACGAAAATGAAGAAATTGATGACCAATACTCAAAAGATTAAGAAAAATGAATGAAAACCAATGACATGGATGGAAAAACCATTAAAAAACTGATGAAAATCAATGAAGATATGAAGCAAAATGAAAGGAAGTTGGTTGTTGGCAAGTTAACCTACTAACGTGCATGGAGAGAATGGAGAAAAGTTTTAAGTATGATGAAATGTGAATGCCTTACATGCAAATAAAGTATGACATGCAATTGAGTTTAACCAACCCAATAAACTAGGATTTAAGAACAAAAAATGGACAAGAAACTAAATAAATAAATGAAAGTATTTGGATTATGGACTATTATTGCATTATCCAACCTGATGTAGGCTTGGAAATGGAAAATAAGTCAAATTTCGACTTTACATGAGAGGAAAATTTGTAAATTTTATTCTAACATATGCTTATGTCTGAGTCTTTATCTACATGTGTTACAAGTTATCCTAAAAGAAGGACAATTGATGGGCTAATTGCTGGCCACATGGCATGGTTAAGTAAATCCTTGGATATGCTTGTCATTTTTTAAAAAGTCAAGGTTCTATTTTTCATTTTATCTCTTCTTAGTATTTTTTGTCTTTTCCTTAGATAGATTGTGCTTCTTCCTTTACTCTTTCTTTGTTTTCTCTACATTTGTTATTTTCAGATTTTCGATTCTTTTTTCCCTTTTTTCCTTGCTCTTTCCATCCATAAACTAATCGGTCTCCAAACCAGTGACACCTTCTTTTCCTTTAATATTCGTTATCTCACGGCACAACTAGCTCAATCTACTCACTCCCTTTGCTGACCCATCGTCTCTATTCAAAAACTTCCTGCTTTTCCCTTTTCTCTTCCTCCTGTATCATTATTTTATTCCCTTTCAATCTATTGTACCTATTGTTCTTTATTTCTTTTGTTAGCAATATGATGGTAAGAAGGTTTCTTCAATAGAAACATGAACCTTTTAGGGATTAAATTCGTCAGGTAGCATAAATAATTTTATTTTTGAAGGTTGTGAAATTTTTTTTCCCTCTTTCCTTTGAATCGATTTTTGTTTTAACAGCCAATCCTGAATATTGTTTTTTTTTTTGGCATATTTATTTGTTTTTTTAAAGATTTTTTTGTAAGTGATTTTCTTTTTTTTAAATTATTTGATTACTTAGCTCCCTTTACTTGAATAAATCAAAGCCCAAAACATATTTTGATATCTGGGTTTTTGTTATTATGTAATATTTTAATACGGATACTAATTTAAATGCCTGATCTTTTTTGTTTAAGTTAATCGGTTCTTTTCGTTTCTTTCTTAATTGATGAGGCATATGATTTTGAAGAATTTATGCTTGAATTTTTATGATTTTTTTTTTGGTTTGAGTCAAACTGTTTAAACTAACCTCAACTTTGAAATAGGAAAAACTGTTGCTTAAAGAACGAAATGGTAAACTATGAAATTAAAACCCCATCACCTAAATTACGTACAATGTACTAATGTAGATACAGTTTCTTTTATTTTAGTTAAAAATGTAGATACAAGTTTTCTTCCTTGAAATAACCCCCACTAGTTATCAGGTTTAGTAATCTAAACAAATATATAGATATTGTACTATATTTTTTTTCGTTGTGTTTAAATCATCTTTAGATTAAATAAGACTGGTAGTTAAGTCATTTCATTTTTCTTCTCCTGCCTTTTTATGTCAACAGTACAGGTGAGCAGAATTTCTTTATTCTTTCATGGTCAATTTTTTCATTTTGCAAGTTGTAATCTCTAACCTTTGCTTTCCAAGTAGAATTTCTAGGTTTTCTTTTTCAGGTCTTTGTCCATCTAGATATTTGATCAATTTTCTATCTTAGCCTAGTTTTCAAGCTTTGTTGGAAGAAATTCTCAATAATATAGTTTAATGTTGATTTGATTGGTCTTAGTTTTAGATTGGTTTATCTAATTTTAAGATTGTTCATCAATGGTTTTTGGGAGGTGGATTATGGTCTTTTGCTCTTAGAATTTTGATTTCTTAACTATATTTCTCAACTTGCTTTTATTTCTTCCCACAGATACATGAATTCTCTCTTCTCTATATTATCTTTTGGAAAACAAAAGGAATGAATTAGTAATCAGAATTTGAGTGTCTGAATGTATTCATTGTTAGGAAGGCCAGTTGACTGATCAACTACTACAAGCTAAATATTGACCAGATGCATCTATTATCATGGGTTACTTCAACAATGGGTCTCGTAGTTTGCAATCTATTCTATCTAGAGAAATTTGCACAAGTGTGTACTTTCAATGTCTAACATTTTTCCTTGCTTTGCTGTTTTTTTTTTTCTACCATGGAGTTGATTTGTGGTTTTTGTGTTGCTTTGGTTTGACAATCTTAATTTGTTTTATGTTTTGGTTCTTCAAGTTGTATTTTACTTTTGATTTTTCCCTTTCATATACTCATGGTTTGATTTTTTTTTCTTACAGGTTCTATTGTTTGACTTCTGTTTCACTGTTATTTTTTAGGTTTGATTTTTTTTATTTATTCTAATAGTTTTTGTTTATGTATACTTTTGTTTTTAATTTTTTTTATTTATTCTTACTTTGAGGTTTTTTATGGTTTTTTGTGTTTTTAGAAGGCCAAGGCATTTTCGTCTTTTCCTAATGCCATGGATCCAAAATTTTCTTCTCTTCATTGAAGTGTTCTTTCGCTTTCTCTCTTGCTTAGAGGAAGAATCTATAGAAAAAAATGAAAGAATGAGGTGAGGAAAGAAGAGAAAGGAAGATCAAGCATAAGAGAGAGAGTTAAGGGTCAAGAGTAGAAATACAAATATGAATTCAAATTTGTGTTTGTTTTAATTGATTGAACAGATTAGATAGAGATAAATTCGCTTCTTTTTTATTTTTGTCCTTTCTTCTTCATCTTATTTCCTTACCCATTGTTATACTTTTTAATTATTTATTTTATTTATTTAATTTTATTTTATGCATTAATTCAAATTTATAAAATTAGTTTAAAAATGGTAAGAATAAAAATAAAATAATTAATTGAATAATTAATTCCATGATTTTTGTTTATCTTGTTTTATTATTTGGGGCTTTATTATAACGTTATTGCTTCTATACAAAAACCAAAAACCTTTGTTCTGAGTTTCTAATTTCCTTTCTTTTTATCTCATTTGATTTGTTTATGCAAGCTTTTATTATTTGAATTCTTTATTACTTGTATTTTTATAATGTTATTGCTTCCATAAAGAAATCAAAAACCTTTCAAGTAAGTTTCTAAATTTTTTTTATCTCATTTAATTAAGTATATGGTTATTCTTCTCTATTTTAGACAATAATCTATGGCAATTTTGCTTTGTTTGTAACAATTTCGTTATGTTTCTTCTATTTCATTATTAGAATTAGCTTGGATTACGATATCTGATCTAACTTCTTAAACTTGTATTTTTACCCACCATCTATAGAATTTGAGTTTACTATTGATTATAACTATCGACGTCTTTCCGAAAGATTTATAAAATTGTAAGGGTATTTCTATCTTATTAGTGTCGTATGCACCATTTATGTTATTTTTGTTGTACATATCTCTGTTATTTAGTGTTTTACTTTATGAATGTATTTTTGTTCTTTTACTATGATGTGTAATTTCTTTGATGTTTCCATTGAAATGATGCGTTTAAGCATAGTTTGCAACTTCTATAGTATTTCTAATAAAAATCATAAACCAAATGAACTTACAAAAAAAATAATTTTAGTTTGTTATTGATTGAAACTGCTAATTTTGAGATTTTTATTAAATTATGAAAATATTTTTGTTTTTTACTGTGGCATGCAATTTTTATGATATTTTTGCTAAATTATGTTTTATATCATAGTCTGCAACTTCATGGAATTTTTTATGAGAATCATAAATTAAATGAAGTTACAAAAAAATTACTATGTTGTAGCTTATCATGGTTTATAGTTTTTATAGTATTTATGTTGGTATCTCTATCTTTTTAGCATGATATACGGTTGCCATGACGGTTCTGCTTCCTTTGTAGAAGTTTTGTTATGTTCCTTCTATTTCATTACCATAACTAATTTGTATTGTTAGACCTTAATTTTCATCCACCATTTTTGCAACTTGAGTCTCTTGTTGATTATAACTGTTGAGATTTTATGATTAGATTCTCTCTTAGCTAGTCAAATGGAATTTTGCTAACTACTAAGACTTTTATTTCAATCTACATTTTACATTCATAACAAAAAATGGTTGACTCTGTTATTTGTTTCTTACTTTCGGGCTTAGTTGTCTAATAGTTAATGTATAGTCGAGTGTGGTGAAGGTAAAACTATCCAAATACTAGTTTACAATTAATTATATTTTTTAATTTTTATTTTGTTTCCACATTAATAATCATTTACCACTCCATATGTAGGTTCAAGTTACCTGATAATGCAAAGACTTATCAAATTTAAGGTTTTATGTAAGATGGAATGCTTATTATCACTATTAGAAAAGAAGTTTCACAAAAGCCAAATATGACTGATTTTTGAAATCACTGAGTAAATTCACTTATCATATATTTTATGTGTTCTTAAGCTGTATACTACAATCTACATTTACAACGATTACCATTTAAACAATTATGTAATTTTTTATTTTTTTTGTACACATTACAGTTGACAATAATTATGCAACTTTTGATTTTTTCTACACACATTATAATTGATAAATAGCTTTATGAATGTTTATGTAAAGTGAGCATCATGTAATTACTAAAATGTAAATATATTTCAACAAATATTGTTTTATTTATATCACATGAATGCATTGTACGGACATACTCTAATTATAATAAATAGCCCCAAATAATGTACCTCTAATAAGCTTAAAGCATTATCCATTTCATTGAGGCATCATATGTAAGGAAATTTAATCAAATTAAAACTAATTAGTTAGTTCTAACAAACCACACAATTTTTTAAGATCTAAGTGGAAAATATTTTTTTTTCTTGTAAATTACTTGCCAAACATAATTCCTTTTTTAATGTAAAATCAAATCTTGCCCATATATATATATAATATATAAAGGGCAGCATATGGTTAAAAACCCGTCAAATATTCGAAAACCTGAACTCTAGACCCTTTTTTTGGCAGTAACTGTAGACTTTGGTTACCATCTCACATGCCGTGGAGCGTGAACCGTCAGACATTGGTATGGCAACTCCCCATTCCGTGCAAGAAACACAATCTTTTTGCCTTTCTCCCAGTATCTCTCTTCAATTATCTGTCAAGATACCGTCATCTTCTGAGTCTTCTAAGTTCTACACAGTAACTTCTAAAAATCAAATAAAAAAACATTAACATCAGGGAAAAGTTCCTTCATTGGCCTAACAAGCCCCGTTCATCGTTACCAAAAGCCAATGAAAATACAACGTTTTTCATTAAATATAATACTAGTAAATGTTTTTCTCTTTTTTTATTCTTTTAAATATTTTTTCTTACTCTCTGTCCTATCCTAATCAATCAATGCTCTAAAGGGACCAGTGAAAACGCTAGGAAGAGATAGAGCATCACCCAGATCAACCATAGAAGAAAACAGGAGACCAAATGCTGTCTCTGAAGAAGAAGAAGAAGAAGAAGCACTAGACACAGAGAGGATATTCTTTTTTTGTACAAAGACTGAGGACTGAGGCTGTTCTTATCTAAGAAAAAAGGATAGTCTTTTTTTTTTTTTTTACAGAGACTAAGGTCTTCTGGAAGTGGGTATTGCAGGGTTTTTGAAACTATGGAAGAAGGAGATCGGATTGAAGAGAGTAGCAGTGTGAGACTGACTGGTAGAACTTACAGTGGTGGTGGGATGGGTGAGTCAAGGTGGGTGGATGGTAGTGAAGTGGACTCAGAGTCACCTCCTTGGTCATTGCTTGATGAAAATGAGGGCAAAGAAGGGTATGGATCATTGAGGAGGAGACTGGTAAAGAAGCCCAAGAGAGTTGATTCATTTGATGTTGAAGCCATGGAAATTGCAGGTGCTTATGGTCACCACTTTAAGGTAATTAACTTGATTATCTCCATTTCCTAGAAAATTCTACACTTTGAATATTTGCATATAATGTTATTCTTTTCCCCTTTAAAGTCTTTGCTTTTGGGGTTTTGGTGTATCAATATTACATTATTATTACCAACCAACTGCTTAATGTATTGAAAAATTGGTATAAAAATTCGATGCTTGGAACGACTATGTTTTCCCAATTTCTTATATTGACCTTTTTAAGCTTAGCCAATAAAGAAGTTTAGCATATACTCTTAGCATACTAGAAAGGAAGTGCTGTGATTGAGATGTCCTCAAGTTTCTCATATCTTCCATTGGCGCCGCTTGACCCATTTATAACTTACGTATCATGTACTACAAATTTGAGCAACTTTTTGTTGTTTTTAAGTGAAGAAATAATATGTAAATAACTGGTGCATGGAGCAAATAGTGTCTTCAATTAAGAATGGGTAGTAAATAGTACTCAAACCTGTAATAAATCAAGAAGAAAGTGATTAGGATTTTACATATGATAGCTAGGAAATTATACAAGTTTCTATGCTTTCCATATTGTTTAGCATTTTATATTAAAAATGCATGAATATTTATCCATTGAAGTGAATTCCTTAACTTGTTTCCAAGAAATCAACTATAAGGATAGGGCACTGTCAATAAAGAACTGTTTGATCCTTTTTTGAAGGAATTTACATGTCAATAAGCTTTACCATATTCTCTTACTAAAATATATGACTTTAATATCAGGACCTTTCGACTTGGCGAACTCTTGCATTGGCATTTCAAACACTTGGGGTCGTTTATGGTGACATGGGAACAAGCCCTTTATATGTTTTCAGTGATGTCTTCAGCAAGGTAAAAATTGAATCAGATGTGGATATCTTGGGGGCCTTATCACTGGTGATGTACACAATTGCTCTAGTCCCCTTGGCAAAATACGTATTTGTAGTGCTTAAAGCCAATGATAATGGGGAAGGTAAGGGCTGCTGTATTAGGATTCTTATTCTCCTCACTTTTACCAGGCTATGTCGGAGATCATTTATATATTAACACATAAATCAATGCAATTGTAGGGGGAACATTTGCACTATACTCGCTGATTTGCAGGTATGCTAAGGTCAACATGCTGCCAAATCATCAGCCAGCTGATGAACAGATATCAAGTTTTAAGCTTAAACTGCCCACTCCAGAGTTAGAAAGGGCTTTAAACATCAAAGAGACTTTGGAAAGAAGATCATCCTTGAAGACCCTCTTGTTGCTGTTGGTTTTGATGGGAACTTCCATGGTCATAGGAGATGGTATTCTAACACCAGCAATATCAGGTAGATATCTTGCCTTGAAGTTAACAAAAGCAGGGCTATTTTCATTGTTCTGTTCTTGGTCATTTCAATGAATAGCTGAATGGTATATTGGATGCATTGAACCTGGATGTTGCAATTATTTAGTTGCAGAAAAATTTGTCTCACCACAATTAGAACTCAAGATATCTTAAGAAGTGAGGCCTTTTCTGATTCATATGGTTCAGGAAAATACTTGGCAACTCATGGTTGAATGATATGATAAACTCTACTTAAGAAAAAGAAAAGGATTTGATACAGTCCCTTAGTTCCATGTGACAGTTTTTGGTGAAGACCTCAAAAAATTTAAGTTGCCACTTGCTACTAAGAGAGCAAGCTTCTGGATCTGGTTATATTTGATAGACCTAATTCGGAGCTTCATCCATGTATCACAAGTAAGGGAGCATTAAGGATTCCATATAGACAACCAATTTGCGAGTCTTTGCAGTTGAATAGGCAGATGAATACTTGGAATTTTTATCGGAGGGTACTCAAACCTTGAAATATGCTGAAACTTGAATTTGATTTTAAGATTTACATATATGCCATTCATTTGTGTCAAATACTTATAAATATATGCCATGAATACTTATCAATATGCCATTCATTTCATCAAGCAAGGTTCAATGTCCCAGGTTTACATATATATGACTTCTACACTTTTGCTTATGCATCTGTGTCAAAACAAACTGTAAAGGTCCCTAGGACATTACTTTGATAGCACTTAATATCTCTGACCTCGTTTGCTGTCTGCGCCATACAATTTGCACGCTGTAAGAAGTTCAAAGTCAAAGTCATGCATCTACTTCTTGATCTAATTAATTTTTTAATAGTGAAAAGTGTGGTAAGGAACTTCAAGTCTTCAAGCTGCATGTTTGAGTTCACATGTACTCACCTAGCAAAGACAGTGAAACCCAAATTTTCTGTTTTTGTTGTCCTTGTAGTAGGTTTAATTGATGAGCATGCAGTAAATAGTAAAAAATCTCTCTGCTTGATTGAATTGATTTCCATTGCTTTGTATGTGTTTTTCAATTTCTTAAAAACTGAAGGGCTCCTATTTTCACCTGCTGGAATGACAGCAAATGTGCATGATCTTTTTGACATATTGAATGAGTTCAATGTTATACACCTGGGTTAATACTGATGTAAGATTGTGATGAATTTCTGTTGCAGTTATGTCTGCTGTAAGTGGTCTTCAGGGTGAAATAAAAGGATTTACTACAAGTGGGTATTTTCATTCTCTTTGATCCATATAAATAAATAAATATATATATATATATATTGTAGAGGGTCCTTCTATGAAAGAACTGAAGAGTTCAAGAATTGATAGTAGATGGACGATAGGGGCATAAGGCAGCCATCATATAATTCCATTGTTTCTTTCCTTTCAGTTGATTCTTGATTATTTAGAATGAACCTGATGTCTACTCTCATATCTATTTCTAGGAGCATCGAAGAATAAATAAAATTAAAAAAAAAAAATCTCTAGATGGGTGGGTTGGGGAACTGGAGGAGCCTTGAGTTTGATTCCTAAATCAAGGTTCTACCGGGCTGGCTGAATATCATGTTAATCACTTTATATTGATGTTTATAAATGTGCACCATCATCATGGCTTTGACCTGTTAATTAATTAGGTTTTGGAGCAATGGACTGTCATCATTTTTTTTCATCTATCTATTTTGTTCACAGCTGCAGTGGTTGTTGTTTCAATTGTAATCTTGGTAGCATTGTTCAGCATACAGCGGTTTGGTACCAGTAAAGTTAGTGTCATGTTTGCTCCAGCACTTGCTTTGTGGTTCTTCTCTCTGGGTTCAATAGGGATTTACAATCTAGTGAAGCATGATATTACAGTCATCAAGGCATTCAATCCAGCTTATATCTATTTTTTCTTCAAGAAGAACAGCAGAGATGCCTGGTCTGCTCTTGGAGGTTGCGTGCTGTGCATTACAGGTACATTACGCTTTTACATAGTGGACCCTGAGAGTATAGGGGCAATGTTTATCAAACATCTATATCTTTCATGATGCACTAGGATAATAGAGGAACACTGAAGCTGGACATGCTAGAGAGCATCACATTGCAGGGAACTGTTTTTGCTTGAAGTCATTTAAACTAGTTGATTTATTTAAACTCATGTTTTTAACCTGTGTAATATAGCTTTTAATACTTTTATTTAATGTTGAGATGAGTGGCTTCTTCATATGAATTTGTAGAAACAAATACATATATTAGTGGTGTAACATGTTTCTATTTGTCACTACAGGAGCTGAAGCAATGTTTGCGGATCTAGGGCATTTCTCCGTACGAGCCATACAGGTTGCTCTTTCATGAATACATCTTTATGACTTCCTTGAAGAATGACCATGGATTTTCATTGACTAAATGCTTCTTATGATTAATTTCTATTACCTGTACAGATTGCTTTCACCTTTGTAGTGTTTCCCTGCCTTCTCTTGGCATACATGGGCCAGGCTGCGTATCTAATGAAATACCCTGATTCCTCAGGAAGAATATTCTATGATTCTGTGCCAGGTTACAGTTGCCAACTGGCTGCTTATCTTCATCTAGTTTCACTTAATAAATTCAAAATTATAATGAAGAAAAGTTAGTTTTTATTAAGTGCTTATTTGACGCTTCATTCACTACTTCTCATGAACAAACAGATAGCCTTTTCTGGCCAGTTTTTGTAGTAGCCACCATTGCTGCCATGATTGCCAGCCAAGCAATGATATCTGCTACATTTTCATGTGTCAAGCAGTCTATGGCTCTTGGATGCTTCCCAAGACTGAAGATAATTCACACCTCAAGGAGACTGATGGGTCAAATTTACATCCCTGTGATCAATTGGTTTTTAATGATCATGTGTGTAGTTGTTGTTTCCATCTTTCGCAGCACTACAGATATCGCCAATGCATATGGTGAGTAATTTTAATTATACCAACTCCTTTTTTGCTCTTTTGCTCCTCTCATTCCTGAAACGTGTCTTTTTGATTTATTCAAAACGTTGTAGTGCCTTATCTTTTTACAATGAAAAACAAAAAATAAACCCATGCTTTTACATGCTCTTTTTGGGTGCTTCTCCTACTCCACTTGAGTGTCTTCTTTCGGTTCTGCAGCATTCAGAATTTTTACTCAGTAAATGTGGACTGTTTGTATTTCACAAAGATTTGCATTTACTATTTTGTTAGTGTAAATATTTGCAACAGTTTCTATAATATTGAACTTACACATTTATAATGGCCTTCCGTCTCTTGATACTTCCCCATGTCATGGTAGCAACACCTCCCACTTTGTTTTGAACTCTTATTTGATTTTATTTATTTAGTCAATGTTTGTCCTGACCTTTCTTGTTGTCTTTGTCTTTTGTCTTATTTGTTGATTGTGGTACCTAATTGATTGTAAATTGGTGTATTATTCTACGCTATTGAGTAGAACTAGTGATGCCTGAATTTCCACCATAATCAGAATGACTTATGGGCAAAGAAAGAGCTGATTAAGCTTGTAGCTTCTATTACTAATTTTATGATGGTAACTTCTCTAATGCCTGTCTAAAATGTTTGTGCAGGCATAGCTGAAGTTGGTGTTATGATGGTCACAACCACCCTGGTGACACTGGTAATGCTTCTAATATGGCAGACCAATTTGTTTATGGCTTTGTGTTTCCCACTTGTATTTGGATCAATAGAGCTTATCTACTTTTCTGCTGTTCTATCAAAAGTCTTAGAGGGAGGTTGGCTTCCGCTTGTTTTTGCTACTTTTTTTCTGACCGTGATGTACATTTGGAACTATGGAAGTGTGCTGAAGTACCAGAGTGAGGTCAGGGAGAAAATATCCATGGACTTCATGCATGAACTTGGCTCCACACTTGGGACAGTGAGGGTTCCAGGGATTGGTTTGTTATACAACGAGCTTGTCCATGGCATTCCCTCAATTTTTGGGCAGTTTCTACTTAGCCTACCTGCTATTCATTCTACTATTGTGTTTGTTTGCATCAAATATGTCCCTGTTCCTGTGGTCCCTCAGGAGGAGAGATTTCTTTTTCGAAGAGTTTGCCCGAAAGACTATCATATGTTTCGATGTATTGCTCGATATGGTTACAAAGATATCCGAAAGGAGGATCACCTTGCATTTGAGCAACTTTTGGTTCAAAGCCTTGAGAATTTCTTGAGAAAAGAGGCTCAAGATCTTGCCTTGGAGAGCAGTTTGACTGAGATGGACATTGATAGTGTTTCAGTGAGCTCAAGGGACTATGGAACCCAGGGTTCTTATGGTAATGAGGAGCTTAAAATCCCATTGATGCATGATAGAAGATTGGAAGAAGCAGGAACTTCTACCTCAGAAGAAGCTTCAGCGGCATTGCCGTCTAGTGTCATGTCATCGGATGAAGACCCAAGTTTGGAATATGAGCTTTCAGCTCTGCGAGAAGCTATAGATTCAGGATTTACATATTTTCTAGCACATGGAGATGTGAGGGCCAAAAAGAACTCCTTTTTCCTTAAGAAACTTGTCATAAACTACTTCTATGCATTCCTAAGGAGAAACTGTCGAGCTGGGGCTGCAAATATGAGTGTACCTCACATGAATATCTTGCAAGTAGGCATGACATATATGGTCTGATTTGCTTGCCATATGAAAAGCCGCCATTTTATCGACCTGCCCCCCATTGCAAGTTCAAATATTGTTTATTTATCACCTCAATTAGAGCCAAGAATGATAAATATTTGTACATCAGGATTGGCTGCCAATGGAAAATTTATATTGAACCTGTTGGCCTGTGTGGCCCCTTGAGTCGTTTCATCTTCAGCTTAATTAAGTCACTCCTTACACGGTGTGGCGTCTACAAGTTGTGCAAGAACGTAAGAAGGCCAATTATCTATGCGCCCAACTTAATTCAATGGATGTGGGCTCTGGCACAAACAAATTCCTCAAAACTTGGTTCAAACTAGAATTGGTTTTTTTAGCCTCTCCCTCAACTGCTCCTCCAACTTGAAACTCGATGGGGTGGCGTATCCTAAGTCGGCACTTTGGGGTCAATTTGTGATGTCTGGTTTAATAGAACCAAAGGCAAAAAGGCAGCTTCCATTAAAGGGGATTTCACCTTTCCTTTTCTTTTCTCCAAAGATATCAACAGCGAAACCCAAAAAGTTGCAGATATCTACAACTGCAACTAGCTAGGACAATATTTTTTGCTTCTTATCATATCATGGGCGAATCTGGATTTAGGATTTCTGGGTTGCTCACGTTTGCAATTTTCCATGGGATGTTCCTTGTTTATGTCTTGTTTGAGGTGGTAGCTCACATCCTCCTGCCACTCAATAAATAATATATATATATATATATATATGAATAAAAATAAAACGTTTCCTGGTCTCACTTTGCTTTGTTGAGTGGAGGATGTCGGTTTCTCTCTTCTGCTGGCGTGGTTAATGACAGGTTCCCTGGAATGGCCAAAGCAAAGCACCAATAATTCACCCGTTGCAATTATTATTTAATAATCTAAAAACTCCAAAACAAAAACTCCTGCTGATTACACCTCCACACAAACGCCAATTTATCATAACTATTGCATATACAATCATCAATTCGCTTTTACAGTATCTTATCAGCATACTATCATTGTTATAATTTAAAATCTTAATTTAGAAATTTTAGAGTTCAATGTTGGAATAAAATCAAATAAAAGTCTTACTTTTCTTTGTCATTATACTTAAAAAAGTTTTTAAACTAATAACATATTGTATGACGTTAACGTGGTACACTGACATGTTATAATAAATGATGACATAATATGATATGGTATAATAATATAATTATGTGATATTTTTTACCTTTCACGTGGATATTATATTTATATAAAATAAAATAATAAATAATACTTTAATTAATAATATTAATTAATTAATAATTATAAATTTATATGATTTAAAATAAAAATATAAAAATTTGATTAAATGTAATAAGTAATTTCAAACACTTAAATTTCATTGTCTAATTTAAAATTATATATTCAGAAATAATTTTGGCATAGAAAAGACGTAGATGCCTTAAATTGAGAGGACAATCCCAAGGTTATGAAACTTTGAGAAAAGCAAGAAAAGATAACATTAAAGCAAAAGGTTAATCTCTATCTCAAAGTGGTGGGTGGCCTTCCAAGCAGGGGAACTGACATGAGAAATTGGGACCAATGTAAAAGTGGGTCCATCCCACTTCAATTCAACACGTGTCGGTATGACAGTGCCTTGCTTGCCTCCAGAAAAATTGTCTGCATGCACGTCATGGTGCTGAAACAGTTGTTGAGATGAGGAAAGGGACATCAGAGACTCGTCAATTTTGCTTTCAAGTTATTTAATTACATACTAATCATAGTTAATTTCGCTAATGATAGCTCTCTGTACAAATCTTAAAATTAAGTTTCGCGGAGGATTCATTTGCACCTTTTACCATGGAGTAGGGGGTAAGGCATGCCCAACTTAAAATATTGCTTCATTAAAATGAGTGATAATAACCACAAAAATATGATTAAAAATTGATGGGTTTTATTATTAGTTGTAATCTTGTTAATTTGTGTTTGTAAGTGGGACAATTAGGTAGGCATCTATATGGAGAAACTTTTGGGTGATCCAACTCAAGTACAATAACTTTAAGTCTACTTCAAATTTTGGGTATTAATAAAAAATAATCAAATGTTGCATGCAATACACAGGTTAAAGGTTCAAGGCATTTGGTTGACTTTCACAATGTTGGTGGGCAAGACGGCCACTCAGACTCATGACTCATTCAAATGGTTAGGTTGTCCAATTCATGGACCATGGACTTGCTCATTAATTGGAAAGCACTATACAATTCAGAACCTTTAAAAGAAATTTAAATAATTATTTGAAAAAATATTATTCAATTATTAAGTGTTATATATATATAACACCAACGTGTCACTCATATTTATACAGTTAAAATGGTAAAGATGCAAAGGTCCATGAGATTTGGATCATAATACCTTTTAGGTATAATATCTAAAAAGTTTTTTAATTATTCAAAAAATTTTAATTTAATTTTTATTTTTTATAATTTTTATATTTTGATTTTAAATCAAATAAATTTTTTAATTAACTGTTATTAATCAAGATGTCAGTTGTTATTTTATGTAATGTGATATCATTTTAATTAATGATAATTAATTAATTATTATTTATAAATACTTATCAAACTTAAAATAAAAATATAAAAATTTAATTGAATGTAATAGAAAAATAAAGACTTATTTTAAATTTTCATAAATAATTCAAAAACTTTTTTTAAACATTATATCTATTTTTCACTATATAACACAAAATGATTCTCCCATTATTAATAAACTCGTTTAACAATTACTTTATACCCAACAATTAATATTAAAAAAAGTTTGCTATAATTTTCTAGCGAAATTTAATATAGAAACCTACCCAAATTGTAAATATATAAAACCCTGCCTGATGACTTAAAGTATACCCATAATAACAAATTTCGTGGATTAATAGAACAAATCACAAGTTATATTGGCCAATAATTAAATAGCAGATAAGGAATAGTACATCACAATCAAATAATTGACCCAAATTGGCTTGGTACATTAATTAAGGTCCTACATCAGTTGATTGATTCGATTCAATCCTCGTGCGGGCAAAAGATTCAGGGAATAAAACAAGAAAAAAATTTCAATTCTGTCTTTTCACGTTTAATTTTGAAAATACATATGCGACCCTCCTCCTAACAAGACCACGTTTAAACATGCGGAGCCTATTTAGTCTAATTTATTTTTAACTTAAAAATTATGACGAAAATCTTATTAAAAATAATAATTTTTAAAATTAATTGAAATTATTTAGTAAATTTATTTTTATAATTTTTTTATATACATAAATTATTTCGTAAAACAATTTATATAAATTATAATTGAGAAAGAAAGGAAGTATTTTTTTGAAAGGTAATGTTGAGATTATTTTTAATAAATTAAGATATTTTTAAACCAAAAGAAAATATTTTTCTAAAAAATTGACGTATTTTTAATAAAAAATAAAAAATCTTTTCTTTGGAGCTTTTTTTTAAAAAATTTTAAAATCATATTTGATCCAATTTTTATTTTTAAGAGATAAATAAACTGAAAAAAAAATCTGAATCAAACAAACACTTAACCTCCTTTATATCTTTGGTGTATACTGCTGGAACCACATTTTTCTTGCCTACTTAATCATGCCTTCGACTACATTCAAATAAATTAACATTATAAACAAAGAATGGAGTTGGGAAGATTGATTTGTCAATTTGGATTTTATAATATATATATAATATATATATATATATATATATATATATATGTAGTATACGTTTAGATAGATGGAAAAGCAGTTGCTTTGAATGGTTCCGTAGGGGACCAAAGTTTAGGCCACGAAAAGAAAGAAGAAAGGGACCATCATCCACAGCTGTCCAATGACCATAATTAATTTACCCTCCCAGATTAGGTATTCTTTTAAATAACTTGCTAAGAGAGACTGCCTAATGCTCCCTGACCTAATAACCACAACAATTTTGATTTCCCAAATTGTTTATCGCAGTTTCCATCACGCTTAACCTAATTCCTGATGTCATCTGAACTCCCATTTAATTAAACCATTCGGATTAAGTTGGAACCGGCTTTAATTTGTTCACACACTTGGCTATTTCAAGCTGCTTTTTATATATATATATTTTACGCAATGATATCAGTATGCAGGCTTTCTCTTACCATGAATAACACAATTACTCTATCTAATTACTTTCAGTGTTTGTCAGGTTTTGTTTTTCCAGCTCTTTCATTTTCTTTATCTAAATATCAATTTGTAGAATTTTTTTTATTGATTTCTGTCCATCATGTGTAGAAATTACGTCATACATATTAGAAAATATATAATTATTATGACTATGGTTTCTATATGTTTTAACATACAAACTAGTAACTGTTCTTGTGCGTTGTTGCGGGTGTAAAATTTTTTCATCATTAAATTAAAAAATATCCTCATTGTATTGTGGAAATACTCTGTATATAATTAGTATTTATTTTATTTTTGAAGAAAAAAATATTAGAACCTGATTTTTAAAATAGATATATGTAATAACTATTTCTATACATCTTGAAATGATCATTTCAAAAACCAAACATGAAAACGCCTAAAATGGTTCCAAGCGTTGAAATGCCTAAGGTCGTTCGAAGAACGAAAATGCCTAAGGGTGTTCCAATCACAAAAACTCCCAAAGATATTCCAAACACAAAAACGACCAAGAGTGTAATAAGTGTAGAAGCAGCCAAGAGTGTTTCAAGTGCAAGATTGCCCACGGACGTTTTAAGCGTAGTGTGAAAGCACCCAAGAGCATTTCAAGAGCAGCAACGCCCAAGGTGGTATCTAGTGAAGAGACACCCAGGTTGGTTTCAAGCGCAAAAGCATCCAAGGGTGTTCCAAGTGCAGAAGCATCCAATAGTGTTCCAAGTGCAAAAGCGCCAAAGGACTTTTCAAGTGCAGAAGCACCCAAGAACAAGCATTGAATAGCTGTTTATTCGAAGAAATAAAAGTAACTCAGAATGAGTGGTAGGGTTCATGAGTTACCTTTACATTTAAGCTGTTCTAGAGAGCTTGGCTTAGTGGCTTATATATAGAGATAGTTAAAAGGACTTCTTCTTAACCTTTCCTTGAAGTATATGTGCTATACCCCTTTTTCTTTCTTTCTTCCTTAAAAATTCATGTGGTGCACCATC